TAAGAAAGGAAATAAATGAAATAGAGATGAAAAATATAGGAAAAATCAGTTGGGCATCCAACTCTTGATTTCTGCTCAGGTCATGATCTCAGGGTCGTGGGATCGAGTGCAGCATCAGGTTCCATGCTCAGTGGGGAGTCTGCCTGAGATTCTCCCTCTCCTTCTCCTTCTGCCCCTGCCCCTGCTCCTGCTCTCTCTCTAAAATAAATAAATAAATTTTTTTTAAAAAAGAAAAAAAAATCAATGAAACTAAGAGCTGGTTCTTTGAAAAGATAAACAAAACTGATAAACCTTTACTAAACTCACCAAGAAAAAAGAGGTAGGGCCCAAATAACTAAAATCAGAAATGAAAAAGGAGAAGTAAGTGATACCACTGAAATACAAAGAATCACAAAAAACTACTATGAACAATTATACACAAATTGGACAAGCTAGAAGAAATGGATAAATTCCTAGAAATTTACAATCTTCCAAAACTGAATCATAAAAAAATAGAAAATCTGAATAGAATGACTACTAGAAAGGAGACTGAATCAGTAATTAACCTCCCAACAAACAAAAGTCCAGGACCAGATAACTTCACCGGTGAATTCTAACATTTAAAGAAGAATTAATACTTAAGCTTCTCAAACTCTTTCAAAAAAAATGAAAATAATAGAAAGCTTCCAAACTCATTTTACAAGGCCAGCATTACTCTCATACCAAAACCAGGCCAGGACACCACAAAAAAATTACAAGTCCATATCTCCAATGACCACAGCTGTGAAAATCCTCCACAAAATATTAGCAAACTGAAACAATAATACAATAAAAGGACCACACAACATGATCAAGTGGGATTTATTCCAGGAATGCAAGGATAGTTCAATATCTGCAAATCAACTGATATGATACACCCTATTAACAAAACAAAAGATAAAAATTACATAATCATTTCAATAGATGCAGAGAAAGCATTCTACAAAATTCAATATCCATGCATGATGAAAAACTCTCAACAAAGTAAATATAAAGGGAATGTATCTCAACATAATAAAGACTAATATGACAAAGCCAGAGCTACTATCATATTCAAAAATGGAAAGTTATAAGTTATTCTTCTAAAATCAGGAACAAGACCAGGATGCCCACTGTCCCCACTTTTATTTAATATAGTATTGGAAGACTTAGCCACAATTTGGCAATCCAAATTGGAAAGGAAGAAGCTAAACCATCACTATCTGCAGATGACATGATGCTAAATACAGGAAATTCTAAGGATTCCACCAAAAAACTGTTAGAACTAATAATTAATTCAGTAAAGTTAGAGGATACAAAATTAACATACAAAAATCTGTTGTTTCTATACACTAATAATGAACTATCAAAAAGAGAAATCAAGAAACAATCACATTTACAATTACATCAAAAAGAATAAAATACCTAGCAGTAAATTTAACCAAAGAGGTAAAAGATTTGTACACTGAAAACTATAAAACACTGATGAAATAAATTGAAGAAGACACAAATTAATGGTAAGATAATCCATGTTGATGGATGAAAAAAAAAAAAAGTAATATTATTAAAATGTCCATAGTACCCAAAGCAATCTATAGATTCAATGCAATCACTATCAAAATTCTAATGGGTATTTTTCACAGAACCAGAACAAATAATCCTAAAATTTGCATGAAACCATAAAAGATCCCAAATAGCTAAAACAATCTTTTTTTTTTTTAGATTTTATTTATTTGACAGAGAGAGACACAGCGAGAGAGAGAACACGAGCAGGGGGAGTGGGAGAGGGAGAAGCAGGCTTCCCGCTGAGCAGGGAGCCCGATGCGGGGCTTGATCCCACGACCCCGGGATCATGGCCTGAGCCGAAAGCAGACGCTTAACAACTGAGCCACGCAGGCACCCCAGCTAAAACAATCTTAAGAAAGAACAAAGTCAGAAATATCACACTCCTTAATTTCAAGCTATATTAAAAAGCTATAGTAATCGAAAAAGTATGGTATAGGCATAAAAACAGACACATAGATCAATGGAACAAAACAGAGTGTCCAAAAAATAAACCCATGCTCATATGGTCAATTAATTTAGGACAAAGGAGACAAGAATATGCAATAGAGAAAGAACAGTGTCTTCAATAAATGGTGTTGAAAACACTGGACAGCTACATGTAAAAAATCAAACTGGACCGTTATCTTCTATCATATATAAAAAAAATTCAAAATGGATTAAAGACTTGAATATAAGACCCGAAACCACAAAACTCCTAGAAGAAAACATAGGCGGTAAACTCCTTGACACTTGACATCATAGTGTTTTGTTTTGTTTTATTTTATTTTATTTTATTTTTTGGATCTGACTCCAAAGACAAAAGAAACAAAAGCAAAAATAAACACATGGGACTACATCAAACTAAAAAGTATCTCACAGCAAAGGAAACCATCAACAAAATGAAAAGGCAACCTACTGAATAGGAGAAAATATTTGCAAATCATATATCTGATAAAGGGTTAATATCAAAATATATAAAGAACTTATACACCTCAACAACAAAAAAATCAAACAATACCATTCAAAAAAATGGGCAGAGGATCTAAATACACATTTTTTCCAAAGGAGACAAACAGCTGGCCAACAGGCACATGAAAAGATGCTCAACATCACTCATCATCAGAGAAATGCAAATCAAAACCACAATGAGATACTAGCTCATACCAGTCAGAATGGCTAGTGTCAAAAAGACAAAAGTAACAAGTGTTCACAAGGATGTGGAACAAAGGGAACCCTGTGGCACTGCTGGTGGAAATGTAAATTGGTACAGCCACTGTGGAGAACAGTATGGAGGTTCCTCAAAAATTAAAATAGACCTACCATATGATGCAGCAATTCCAGCAATTAAAACACTAATACAAGGGTGCCTGGGTGGCTCAGTTGGTTAAGCGACTGCCTTCGGCTCAGGTCATGATCCTGGAGTCCCGGGATCGAGTCCC